GTGTGTGTTTGCGTGCCCAAGATCCCGAGAGGAAAATGGAGGAGAAGGGATTGTGGCATGGCCATCCCCCTGGGGGGAGATTTCTCGCTTTCTGTCTCTCTTGTCTCTCTGGTGAGTGCATGCGCCCTATAGAAAAAAAATATTTTATTTAACTTTATTTAAATTTCACTAGAAAGAGAAAGAGAAAGTGAGAAAGCAAGCTGCCAGGTCCAGGACTCAAACTGCAGTCAGCCATGTCGGAGTCCAGTGCCTTTAACTACCATGCCACCTGCCGGTCTCATTAGCTTCTTTTTTGAGATTCAGTTGGAGACAGTAGTTGTTGCTTTATGTCAGTTTAAGCCCAACAAAAACACTACCTTCCATATATAAATCTGCTCTATTCCCTTAACATAACAGGCATGCATTCTTTCTCTCCCCAAAGTGTGATAAACATAGAGTCCTTTCCTCGATTTCATTCTCTTATTCCTCCCCCCCTTTTTTTTGAGAGGTTTTTGCTATAGGGCGTGTGCGCTCGCCAGAAAGACAGAGACAGAGAGACAGAAAGCGAGAAATCACCCCCCAGTGGAGATGGCCTCTCCGCAATGCCTTCTCTTCCATTCTCCTCTTGGGATCTTGGGCACGCATGCACACATGCCCGGCGTGAGTTTAAGCTACCGGCTCTGGAATTCAAACCGTGGTCGACTATGTGAGAGTCCAGCGACATAGCCACTATGCTAACTTCTGGTCCCGCCTCATTCCCTCCCCCCCTTTATAGGTTCCTATACAGACTCTTTGTAGCAAAGCCCCCTCTGAGAAAGAGTCTTTGCCTCCAGTTCCTGTTTCTCCTTATGAAGACGAACCCTGGAAATACTTGGACTCAGAAGGTACCTCTGAATGGGGAAGGGCGGGTCAGGTGGTCTGAGATGGTTGGACAAACTGACCCCTTGTATTCCCACCCTGGAATAACTGTTGTGGTCTTCTGTTCAGAATACCAGAACCGCTATGGTTCTCGTCCTGTCTGGGCTGACTACCGTCGCAACTACAAAGGTGGTATACCCCCACAGCGGACCCGAAAGACGTGTGTTGTGAGTTTCAGGGGTGGTGTGTAGGTGGGATGTGGAATGGGGCGGAGGCCATGGTGACGGTGGCAGCAGCATTTTTTTCTGACAGGGCTTTGAATGTCTTCTCTCTACAGAGAGGGAATAAAGTTGCTGGGAATCCCTGCCCCATCTGCCGAGATCACAAGTTGCACGTCGACTTTAGGGTAAGGACAATATTTTCTCCAGAGTAAGAGAGAAAGTGAGAAAGCAAGCTGCCAGGTCCAGGACTTGAACCACAGTCGACCATGTGGGAGTCCGGTGCCCTCAACCACCACACCACCTGCCGGCCCCATGCCTGACATGTTTTTCAAGTCACCAGGTTTGGGACTGGAACTGTACAGTAAGCCAAGTGGGATACAGTAAGCCATGTGAGATAAAGCCCCATTAACCACCACACTGTAGTCTAGCCTGGCTTATTTTTATTTATTTATTTATTTTGCCATAGGTTGTATGCATTCACCAGAGAAAGAGAAGGACTGGGAAGTGAGAAATCACCCCTCAGGGATGGCCACACCACAATCCCTTCTTCAGTCTCCTTTTGGAATTTTGGGCACGTATGCACATGCCCCTGGCATTGATTTCAAGCCACCGGGGCAGGAACTCACACCATGAAGGTAGCCGTGTTGGATCCATCACCTTCACTTACATGCCGTCTGCTGACCGTTTTCAATTTTTTTTTTTCTTTATTTTTTTAATCAGCAGAGGGCATATGTGCTTGCAGGAGAGACAGCGCACACAAGCGCAGTCCCCAGTGGAGTGCGCTCACACTGCAGCCCATTTCCTCCACTCCTCCTCTCTGTCAGGATTTCCGGAATACACACACACCGTCATGTTTCTCAGGCTGCTGGGGCCGAGATCTGAAACACTGCCGGTCATGCGGGATGCAGCTCTCAGTGCACGCCCTTAACCGCTGTGGTACGGGACGGCCCCAAAGCTTCACTTATATTTATCATAATTTTTTTTTTTAAGAGATTTTGTGCTATGAGGTGTGTGCACTTGCCAGAGAGACAAAATGAGAAATCACCCCCCAGAGGGGATGGCCTCACCACAGTCCATTCTCTTGGGATCTTGAGCACGTGTGCTCATGCACCCAGCGTGAGTTTCAAGCTGCCAGGTCCTGAACTCGAACCATGGTCGGCCTTGTGGGTGCCCAGTTTCTTAACCACTACACCTGCTGGCCCTATCACAATTATTAACCAATATATTGGCCTGTTCTTTTCCTGATATTTTCTTTTTATTGTCATGTTGATGACGACTGGTATGCTGAGATCTGAGGCTAGCAGGCAGATGAGTAAAACGAGGAATAGAATCTAAGAGACTATTGGGGCCAGTGGATGGTGTAGCAGTTATGTCCCTGGCCTCCCACATGGTTAACTGTGGTTCAAATCCCAGACCCAGCAGCTTGAAACTCACGCCTGGCATGTGTATGTGCGTGCCCAAGATCCCAGGAGGAGAATAGAGGAGAAGGAATTGCAGCATGGCCATCCCCCTGAGTGATTTCTCACTTTTCCTTTTACTGTCTCTGGCCCTTTCCCTTATCTTTTTTTTCTCCAAGAATTATTTCATAAGTTTATTTTAATTTGAATAGAGAGAGAGAAAGTGAGAAAGCAAGCCACCAGGTCCAGAACTTGAACGGTGCTTGGCCATGTGGGAGTGTCCAGCGCCTTAATCACCACACCACCTGCTCGCCCCATCTTTTTGTCCTTCATTTTCCTCTCAGGATCTTGGGCATACACACACCCGGCATGAGTTTCACGTTGCCGGGTCTGGGACTCGAACCGTAGTTGACTATGTGGAAGTCCAGTGACGTAACCCTTATGCCATCTGTTGACGCCTTAGACTATTTTTCAAAAAGCCTTCAACAATGTGAGAGGAGTGGGACTTGCTCCATAAAGAATTTGAAACAGTATCAAAGTGATGATAGGGAAGTGCACTGTGGGCTTGCGGGGAAGCTAGACGAGCAGGAGCTACTAGATGAGCAGGACCTACGTGGCTGGTCACCAGGAACGTTGGACGGTGTCTGTGGGTCAGTCAGCAGCACATGCAGAAGGATGTCCGACTGCTGTAAGGACCCTCTGACACAGCATATAGGGGAGTCCACTAGGTAACCTTATGGTTTCGGCCACACACGATTAGGTAGGTATTAAAAAGAGGTCATAGAGCCAGCAGGTGGTGTGGTGGTTAAGGCGCTGGACACTCCCACCTGGCTGACCACAATCTGAGTTCAGCCTAACGTCTTGCTTTCTCACTACCCACCCCTGTCTCTTTCTGGTCAAGTTAAAAAGTAGTAAGTAAAAGGAAACCTTTCTTTTTTCATTTTAAAGAATTATTTTTATTTAACTTTTTCATTAATCAGTTTGTATTAATTGGACCAGTGTAAGAGGAAGTGAGAAAACAAGCCTTCCCTGGGAGTCCAGTGCCCATAACCACCATGGCACCTGCTGGCCCCTTAAATAATTCTTTTTTGTAAAAAAAAAAAAAAGAAAAAGAAGAGGTTAAAACAACATAACTAAGGGAGAAAGAAGAGTAAAACAATGAAATAGTGCAGGTGATTCTACCTGCCATCCGTGTCCAGGTGCACCTGCGTTTTCTGGGTGTCGCACCCCATGGTCACTGTGCTGGCCGAGAGTCGCTCTATGCTACTACAACTATAAAGTCTGTTCTTTAAAACAGAGGTTTTTGCCTCAGGGCGGATGTGCTCACTGGAGGGAGCAAGAGACAGATAGTGAGAGGGAAAGTGAAAAGTCACCTCCCAGGGAGGGTGGCACGCTGTGGGTCCTCTCATTCTACTCCTGGGATCTCAGGCAGGCACGCACTGGCGGCGTGATTTTCTTTTCTTTCTTTCTTTTTTTTTTTTTTTTTTAAAGAATTATTTTTTTGAACTTTATGTGATTATTTTTTTAAATTTGACCAGAGAGGGACAGAGTGAGAGACAGAGAGAAAGTGAGAAAGCAAGCTGCTGGGTCCGGTACTCGAACTGCGAGCCATGTGAGAGTCCTACACTCTTAACCACCACATCACCGGCCGGCTCCGTGGTGTGATTTTCAAGCCACCAGGTCCAGGATTTGAACCACGGTTGACCATGTCTGGCGACATAACCACTATGCCATCTGTTGGCCCTATAAAGTCATTTGTAATCATACTACGTTATATTTAGTGTGCCGTTCTGTACCTTAACTGGATGGGCTGCCCTTCTAGTACCATGGTTGAGCACTGTGCACTGGGAGCTGGGTTCTATGTGACCAACTACAGTTCAAATCCCCGCCCTGACAGCATGAAAAACACGCCTGTGTGTGTCTGCCCCCAAAAATCTTGATGGGTTGGGACTCGGAGAAAAAGGATCCTGGCACGACTGTGCCCCATTGGGGGGCTTTCTCTCTGCCAAGTGCATGCCCCCTCTGGGAATCAAGAGAGAGTTTTAAAAATAATTTGTACATGCTGATTACATTATTTTGTGGGTGATTTTTGGCATTTCCAATGATCGTCTGGGTTTTTGCTTGAGGGCTGACTAGAATATAACCTGTGAGGCCAGCAGGTGGCATGGGAGTTAAGGAGCTGCATCCCTCATGGCCGACTCCATGGTTTGAGTCCCAGACTCGGTGACTTGAAAATTATCCTGAATGCACGTACATGCGTGCCCAAAATCTCAAGAGGAGAATCAAGGAGAGGGATTATAGGGTGGCCACCTGCCCTCTGGGGTGATTTCTTTTTTTTTTTAGAGGTTTTTGCCATAGGGCGCATGCACTCACCAGAAGGACATAGAAAGAGAGACAGAAAGTGAGAAATCACCCCCCGGGGGGATGGCCGTGCTGCAATCACTTCTCTTCCATTCTCTTCTCAGGATCTTGGGCACGCATGCACATGCGCCCGGTGTGAGTTTAAGGGTCCAGGACTTGAACCTGGTCAACTGCATGGGAGTCCGGTGACATAGCCATTACGCTAACTGCTGGTCCCTGGGGTGATCTCTCACTCCTTCTGGTCAGTCAGTCTCTGACGAGTGCACACAACCTATATCAAAAACAAAGCAAACAAAAACCAAAGGATGTAACCTCTGAAGACTTCTCAGGGTCCAGTGACAGAATCCAGAGCGTGCATATAAAATGGTTGAAAGGCCAGGAAAAGAGGAACTTTGCTGCTGTTTTCAAGCATGAGTTTAGGGAACTGACGAGGCTAAAACCAGGCTGTAAAGGAAGAATGTGTCCAGAGAGATGAGGTGGAGGTTGGCTGTGGGCGAGCAGGGCTCGTGCACTCTCAGTCCCCCTCTGCTCACACTTCTCTACCACCGACCCCCAGAACGTGAAGCTCTTGGAGCAGTTTGTCTGCGCCCACACTGGCATCATCTTCCACGCCCCGTACACAGGTGAGCCCCAGCCCCGTCACCGCCAGAACAGCTTTCCCTGAGGCACTCATCGTGCAGTGAGACGACAGGTATTCGCGCTGTGGCTTCATTGAAGGCCCTTGGGGAAATCTTGCCTTAATGGGCTTACTTAGTAAATTGCTGAAACAATTAGCGCGAACAGAAAACCCAGGCAGGTGTGCTGTAAGCAAGCTGTGTGAGTGCGGTCCCTGACAGGTAAGCGTGCTCGCGGTCGTTTCCTTTCTGTACGGTCGCTCCCTCCTACAAAGGGGTGTTCTCATGGACTGACCATTACGGAAGTTCTAGCCTAGTGACAGGCAGATTTCCCAGATTCGGGACTGAGCAGGGCGATGCAGGGCTGCGTCTCCCCCCTGACAGCAGGCACAGGCCGAATCTGGCCCACGCCGTGTCCGCTTGTTTCCGTGCTGTCTAGAACAGCTTCCAGACTGCAGTGGCAGAGCTGAGCCGAGACGGAGACCACAGGACCTACACGCCTGAGATACGTACTGTGGTCCTGGACAGGAATAACCGCCAGCCGCTATTCTGAAGCAAGATCAATTTGCAGAGAATATGAACTCATTACTGTTGAGGGGCGGTGCTCCTGGTGTTCAGTTTGTCATTGATTTCGTTTTTGTTTTTATAAAGGTGGAAGAGACCAGGGGCTATGGTTACTGGCACAGATTGCTCTCTGCACACCTGAAATCACTTGGTCCCTTCTTGGATCTGTGTGGGCTGTCCAGCACAATGCTTCAGCCACTTGTGCTGTTTGAATTGTGCCCTGCCGCACATTGTGTGGCCTTTATCACTAAGGAGCCTCTCTGTCGTGGCTACAGAGACGCTCCGAAGTCTTCATCCGAGTTCCCAGAGAAGGGGGAGGATTCTTTCCATTGGCAGATGGAGAACCCAAGGCCCGTGGAGGGGTTGGGAGTGGGGCCATCAGTTAGACAAAGCCATGTCTTCTAAATCCAAGCTGGTTTTCTCCTCAACAGGGGTTTGTATGAAGCAACATAAGAAGCTGACCCAGGCCATCCAGAAAGCCAGGGATCACGGTGAGTGTGAGAGGGGCACCACGTGGCTGTGTAAAGCAGGGCCCCCAACACCCAGGCATGGACCAGTGCTGGTCCCTGGCCTGCAGAGGCCCCCACCTTCCCTAACTGCAGGAGGCGTGAGCCGCTGAGTGAACCCCACCGGCGTCTGCTGCTGCTCCCCCTCACTCACTGCTGCCTGGCTCCGCCTCTTGTCGGGTCCTTGGTGGTGGAGGATGCTCACGGGAGCATGAGCTCTGTCATGTGACGGCTTTGTCGTGTGTTACACTGTGGCAGAAGTGGTGTGCTCTGGGTGTGGTGTGCTTAGGACCAACCCTGCCCCTTTCACAGGGGACTGTCTTCCACAATGCCAGTCCCTAATACCGGGAACATTGGGGACCCCTCTTATAAAGAATAAGGAAGGGGATTTGGGGCTGGAGAGTGGATATAAATGCTCCCGCCTATCAGAGAAGGTAGCACGCAACGTGTTCTTCCCCAGCCATCTCTCCTCACTCCACTGTCTTTTGTCACCTCCTAAATCTCTTACCTTGTCATTTTCCCATCCCCTCATTCTTCATCTTTCATTACCTGTTCTGTTTATCTTTACAACTGGTCCCAGTGCCATAGCAAGATCATAGGAAGATCTTTTCAGGGACCAGCAGATGGCATAATGGTTACATTGCTGGATTCCCATGTAGTCAACCACAGTTCAAGTCCTGGACCTGGCAGCTTAAATACACGCCGGGCGCGAGTGCACATGTGCTCAAAATCCTGAAAGGAGAATGGAGAAGGGATTGCGGCATGGCCGTCCTTCTCGGGGGGGCTGATTTCTCGCTTTCTGTTTTTCTCTGGTGGGGGCACGTGCCCTATAGCAGAAATCTCTCCTTAAGAAAAAGTATCTTTTGATTTATTTCTTTAATCTAATATAGGGTGCATGTGATCACCAGAGAGAGAGAGAAAGAGCACTCCCGGGGGGGTGGCCATACTGCAGTCCCTTCTCCATTTCTCCTTCCTTTTGGGATTTTGGACATGTACACCCATGAGCCTGGCATGATTTTCTTTTAAATAATTATTTATTTAATTTTATCTATCCATTCATTTATTTTTAATTTGACAGAGACACACAGAAAGAGAGGGGAAGTGAGAAGGTAAGCCACCAGGACTCGAACCGTGGTTTGCCATGTGGGAGTGTCAAGCACCTCAACCACCATGCTGCCTGCTGGTCCCTGAGCGTGGCATGTTTTTCAAGCTGAGTCCAAGACTCGAGCTGAGCAGTCAGTCAAGTGTGACACAGCTACCTTAACCACTATGCCACTGGCTAGCCCCATAGGATAATCTTTGTATAAATTTCTTGCCCCGGGGAACCAGCAGGTGACGTAATGGTTATATCACTGGACTTCCACATATTCAACCATGGTTCGAGTCCCGTACCTGGTGGCTTAAACTCATGCTGGGCACATGTGTGTTTCTGCCCAAGATCCCAAGTGGCAAATTGAGAAAAAGGGGTTGCAGTGTGGCTGGCCCCCCCCCCCCCCCGTGATTCCTCACTTTCTGTGTCTCTGTTAAGCGCGCATGCCCTATAGCATAAATCTCTCTTAAAAAGGGGTGTGGGGGGACTATCAGTTAGTGCAATGGCTATGTCGCTGGACTCCCGTATAGTCCCAGACCCGGTGGCTTAAACTCACGCCGGGCATGTGTGCGTGCGTGCCCAAGATCCTGAGAGGAGAAAGGAGTAGAAGGGATTGCGGCATGGCTATCCCCCATGGGGGGGGATTTCTCGCTTTCTGTCTCTGTGTCTCTCTCTGTCTGTCTGGCGAGTGCACGCGCCCTATAGCAAAAACCTCTCCAAAAAAAAAAAGAAAAAGGGGGGTGGGGTGGCAGGTGGGGTGGTGGTTAAGGGCTCTGAATTCCCACAAGGCAGTCCCTGACCTAGTAGCTTTCTTTCTCCCTTTCTCTCTCAATCTCTCTCTCTCTCTCTCAATATTTCTCTCTCTCTCTCTCTCTGTCCCTCTCTGGTCAAATTGAAATAAGCAGATGAATAAATAAATGAATAAAGTTAAAAATGAAAACAAAATTTTTTTTAAAGTACTCTTTTTCTCTCACAAAAGAAAGTTGTTTTCTTTTTTTAAGTATGTTTTATTTAACTTTATTTATTTATTTTAATTTTATCAGAGAGGGAGAAGGAAAATGAAGCCACTAGGTCTGGGACTTGAACCATGGTCGGCCATGTGGGAATCCAGCACCTTTAACTACCATACCACTTGCCAGCCCCAGAAAGGTTGTTTTAAAAATTTTTTTCTCAGGACCAGCAGCATAATGGTTATGTCGCTGGACTCCCACGTAGTCGACCGCGGTTCGAGTCCTGGACCTGGTGGCTTAAACTCATGCCGGGCGTGTGTGCGTGCATGCCCAAGATCCTGAAAGGACAATGGAGGAGAAGGGATTGCCGTGTGGCCATCCCCCCTGGGGGGTGATTTCCTGCTTTCTGTCTCTGTCTCTGTCTGTCTGGTGAGCGCACGTGCCCTATAGCAAAAACCTCTCCAAAAAAAAATTTTTTTTTCTTTTCTGGTCCTGGGCTGTCTGGCGCCTTTGCACAATTTAGTGAAGCATTCCCTGCTGCTGTGGCAGATGCAGCTTTGTGGCCCTGTGCAGGGCTGCACAGCCTCGCAGACGAGAGCCCAGGCAGCACGCAGCCCACACTCGCCCACTGGCTGCCTGCCTTGGCGCAGGGAACAGCCTCACACTGGCCCGGTGGCCGCCTGCTCCTCCCTCTCCAGGTCCTTGTCGTCATTGTCTTGATCTGCACTACCCTGCTCACTCGCCCCCTCACTTCTTCTAATCCTTCAGGTCTCCTCAGTTACCACATTGCCCAGGTTGAACCCCGGGACCTCGACTTCAGCACCTCTCATGGAGCTGTGAGTGCCACTCCGCCAGCCCCCACGCTGGTTTCAGGTGACCCCTGGTACCCCTGGTACAACTGGATACAGCCACCGGAGAGAGAACTGTCCCGCCTTCGCCGGCTCTATCAGGGCCATCTCCGAGAAGAGAGCGGCCCCCCACCTGAGTCAATGCCCAAGGTGCCCCCCACACCACCAGCCGAAGCCGCCTCCCCTGAGCAGATGGGCCAGAGTGCTGTGTAAGAGTGTAGCCAGGAAGCCGGCCCAAGGGTTAAGGGGTGGAGCCTAGGACTCTGTGGCCAGTGGCCGACTGGGGAAGAAAATGAGACTAGAAGAGGTCAGTAGAGGCAGTGAGACCCCAGCCCCTAAGGACTGTAAACAGATGGGCTAAATATTGTCGCTGTTTCAGGCTCTGCCAGCTCAGCTTCTCCACAATAAACTCTGCCTCCTGTCTCCCACTTGCTTCGAGCTGTTTCAGTGAATGCGTTTGGGGAATAGGCCAAGTGGTGTTTGCAGTTTTCACATCGGGGGTGAGGGCCAGGCAGCGGTGCAGCAGCATCACCTCACACACTTGGGTAGGCCCTGTGCATCCCGGCGTATGTGCGCACGTGCCTGGGGTCTCCGTCGTGGACTGCAGTGCAGCATGAGGGCCCTGTTGGGGATGCCTGTATCTCTAATAAAAGAAGTAAATAAAACTTAAAAAAAAAAAAAGGTCATCTGATGGCATGGTGGTTAGGGCAGCAGGATCCTACGGAGTCAACTACAGTTTGAGTCCTGGACCCAGCAGCTTGAAAAACACACCAAGCACATGTCAGCGTGCCCAGGAGGAGAGGGGATTGTAATGTGGCCAGACCCCACAAACAGGAGTCCTCAAAGGACAAGCTGGGGGGTGGTGGTGGGGGTGGTGTAAGCCCACCCAAAATCCGGACAGGACCCCATGGGAGGTGCTTCCTCACTTTCAGCAAACACATGCACCCCTTAACAATTAATTAGGGGAAGGGACTAGCCCTTGGCAATGGCTGTGTCGCTGGACTCCCATGTAGTCGACCACGGTTTGAATCCTGGACCCCGTCGGGAGTCAGTGCATGCGTGCCTTAGATCCTGAGAGGAGAACGGAGAAGGGATTGCGGCGTGGCCATCCCCCCTGGGGGGTGATTTCTCGCTTTCTGTCTCTGTCTCTGTCAGCGCACTCGCCCTACAGCCAAAACCTCTCCAAAAGGAAAAAAAAAAACTAAGGGGGGGGAAAACAAAAAGATCCTGCCGGGAGGAGCTCGGTCAGGCAGGCGCACCCTGCGGCGGCTCCGGGGACCCAGGCTGGGCGGGCAGCCCTGGGCGGTGGGGCCGGCCTGTCCCTGGGCGCCCCGCGCGGTCCTGGCGTCGCCGCCCCGGCCGGATCCACCCGAGGGCGAGGAAAAGGCGCCGCCGTGCC